AAAAAAAAAAAAAAAAAGGTTTTCAACTGGAAAATTTTTTCTCACCAAAAAGGCGGGAAAACGTTTTCATAAAAAAGTCTGAAAATGCACACGTGTGGGCTAAACCCGGAAAATATTTTCCGTAGAAAATTTCGCCTATCAAACAGCCAAAAAAGTGGAAATTGGAAAATATTTTCCTAGTTGCCTGGAAAATAACGCGTATCAAACACGCCCTTAATATTTCAGAAGAATGTTACCTGCATTTGAAAAGTATGAATTATAATTTTTAATATTTTAAAATTTTTTTGATATATTACTCTTGAAAAAGTAATAGTAAAATACAATGTGCTCTCAAAGTAGTACACTATTATTTATATATAATCCATTTAGATTTACTTGCACTCGTAGAGTATATAAATAAATATGAAATATAATAAATGAATCTTGAAAATGTATTTTTTAAATATATATACATATAACAATTTTTAAAAGAAAGAATTTCACATCAAAGCATCTTCTTGTGACTACAGAAGAAGTACAAGGAACACAGAAAGAAAGAATTTTCGTTAGTATATGGGTTTATATGTTCAATTTTTGGGAAACTTGATTTTGTACAGAGTTTTTTCAGGATATTCCTTTTTGCACATGATCATTTAAAAGTTTTTATTTCCTCTCAAAAAATTGAACTCAATCCTGAAATGCATTTTTTAAACATATATACATATAACAACTTCAAAAAGAGGAGATTTAACATCAAAGAATCTTCTTTTGAGAGCAGAAGAAGTACAAGGAAACAGAGTAAGAAAGAATTTTCGTTAGTGCGTATTTAAATATACATTTTTTAAAGAAAACTGATCTTGCACAGAAACAATTATTAAAATGCAATTTATATGATTTTACCTTTGTGCAAAAGAACATTAAAAACCTTTATTTCCTCTAAAAAATTCAACTCATTCTTCAAATGTATTTTTTTACACATACATACATATAATAACTTTAAAAATAGAGGATTTCAAAGAATCATTTTGTAGATGCAGAAGAAGTACAAGCAAATAGAGAAAGAAAGAAGTTTGTTAGTGTGTGTGTGTGTGTGTGTGTGTGTGTTTATATGTATAATTTTTTGTGGAAATTTATCTTGAACAAAAAAATTCTTAGAATGTATTTTTAAGGCTTCCCCCTCCACAAAAGAACATTTAAAAGCCATTATTTCCTCTCAAAAAATCCAAGTTAATCTTCATAATGTATTTTTTAAACATATATACAAAAAAAAAAAACTATGAAAAAAGAGGATTGACATCAAATAAGCTTCTTCTCACTACAGAAGAAGTATAAGAAAATAGAGAAAGAAAGAATGTTTGTTTGAGTACGTTTCTACATGTGCTTTTTTTTTTTTTTGGGAAAATTGATCTTGAATGGAAAAAATTCTTAAAATGAATTTTTTAGGATATCCTTTTGTGTAAAAGAACATTTTAAAACCTTTATTTCCTCTAAAAAATTCATTTCATTCTTCAAATGTATTATACACACACACACACACACACACACAACAACAACAACAACAACAACAACAACAACAACTAGGGTTAGACAAAATTCTCGAACCAAATGCGATTGGAACCGAGCGATTTTTTAAGTTAAATACCCGAACGGGTATCTGAGTCGAGAACAGACATGTTTGACTTAGTTCCAAACCAAGAATCGAAGAACTAAATAAGAACCGAATCTCCCTAATTTTTTATTTTAAATAAGTCAATTATTTTATTTATTTTAAAATAAATTTACTAACTAATTAATTTAGTCTAAACCCAAAATATGATTTTCCTATTTCTAATTTTCAGTCCAAGCCTAACTTAATCAAATTGACCTTAGTTTTACCGAAATCTCGTGCCCTTTTTGCGATTTTGGAGAAATCAAATTGGAAGCTCAGCGTGCCTATCTTCATTATTGTGAACTCACTATCTTCCTCTTCCTGTGATTTAACTGTCAAATTTACGAAGAACTCAACAAAAAGAAACACAAAAGATACCATGTGATTGGACTATATTATTTTGTAACAAGTTATGATTGAATATGTCATTAGTTGAATTAATGTAGTATTGTTGTAAATATTAAAAAAGATTAATTATTGTATGGAACTCAGGAATCGAACTGAACCGAATGGAACCAACCGAACGGAACCAACTGAATGATTTTATAATTAAATTTGGACCCCAACGGTTTCACTTACTAAATACCCA